TTAATATTAAATATGGTAGTCAGACCTCCCTCAAGTTGGTGCCGGGATATCTCTCATGCTCAACTTGCAGACCAAGTTATGAAGATTAATCCTGCAGTGTCAATCATTTTTATTGTTCGAACATTTTGATTTTACTAGATTCGTTGCACTTATAGCTGATGAAGAGTTAAATTGAGACAAAATACGCTTTAAGGTTTGAATATTATCATTTGAAAATGTTCTAATTGTTGTTGTGTTAGGTGTTTCACTTATCTTATTCAAATTTCTTGAGCTCTCGTAAGTCTACAATTTCTTCTATCACTATCTCTAATTGGTTTTCCATGCAACTTCCAACAAGTTTTCTTAGTGTGTTTTGGTTTGTTACAATAGTTACACTTCTGTAGATCTTTGGACCTGTCAGATTGAGCAATCAATTCAGCTTTCTCAACTTGTGCTATGTAAAATATGAGATTCCTTCTATTTTCTTCTTATTGGATATAAGAATAAGTTTGTTTTAATGAAGAAAGAAGATTCTTACCAAACACTTGAACCCGTATTTAATCATATTTGGTATTCAGACCAATTAAGAAATCATAAATTCGTTTTTTTTCTATCAATTTCTAAAATTTGACGGCATTTGCAAAATAATTTGCCTGAAAGTCTTGATAATAATCTAATTCTTACTATAATTCACTTAATTCAGAAAAATATTGTGACATAATCATTTTTTCTTATTTTGTGCCATGAATTTTTTTGAGTTCATAAATTTGGGTATAATTATCCACTTGTGAGTATGTAAGAGATGCTGTATTGCATTTTTTTGCTACAGTATCAAATAACAAATATGTTCGTGTAATATGAGGTTGTATAGAATTGATGAGTCAAGACATTATTAAAAAATTTTTAGAGTCCCATACGTTATATTCCAAATCTCCTACATCTGGTTTTTTCATATCACCTGTAATGTACCCCTTCAATCCTCTAACTTTGATAAATAATAAATAAAATTTTGATCAAGCAAGATAATTAGTTGCATCAAGTTTTATAGGACTGATTTGTAATGAGGGATTATCTGAATAAGAAACCATCACATTTTTTGCTCATATCATTTTAGAGTGTTAAATACAAGAAGAAAAATACCCAATAATTAAAAATAGACCTCTTAATCTACACCAAAATAGCCAAAAAGGATAGAAAAATACTGAAATTAGATCTGTTGGCTATCCGGGTCGGCTCAGCTCAGCTTGAGAAATGGCTTGGCTCAAAAATAGCTCGGCTCGGTTTAAAACTTGGCTCGACTTGGTGCAAGTGGCTCGCCTCAGGCTGAAATCGGCTCGACTCGGCTTGGCTCAACAACTCGAATCGACTCAATGCAACCGGCTAGAAGAACTCCCCGCGCATGGCTCTGTGCATGACGGAAGGGGAAGATCGTGCGCGGCAGAAGGCTGATAAGTGGTGGCCAGTGGCTCTGTGCAATCGGAGTGAGGTAGATCGGGGTGGTTGCGCAACTCTTCGCGTGACTCTGCGCGTGACGGACAAGAAACTGGATCTTGCAGCACTTCGTGTGGCTCTACGCGTGGCAGAAGAAGAAGCTTGGTCGATCGACTCTTCACGCGTCTCTGCGCACGGAGGAAGAAGGAACCCAAGTGGTCGCGCAGCTCTGTGCACTGCTGAAGAAGGAAACCAAGGTGGTCGTGCGGCTTTGCGCGCGACTGAAGAAAAAGGAAACTGAGGTGGTGATTTCTCTCTTCCTCGGATATGACATTTCTTCCCAAATTTGGCCTCTCCCTCTGATCTGGCTCTTTTTGTTATTCTTAGGGTTTAGAAAAGAAAAACACTGAAATTAGAACCCCAAAATAGGGGGTGAAGAGGGTAACTCTGGATAAATGGGTACCAATCCAACCTATTATACTATTTTAGAGTTTCCTTTCCTAATAACTATTTGGCTCTGATATCAAGAAGATTTTGGAAAAATAATAATTTTCTTTCTCACTCTTAGGTTGTTACACTTAGGGTATCTATAAAATTCCTATTCTACTGATAGAGAAGTTTTTATTCTACTAGACTTTTAATTATATGAGATTATTATTCTCGTAAAATCTTAATTATATAATACCAACTAATTAAATAATAAATAATAACTAATTAAATAATAAATTAAAATGATTAACTAATAAAATATGGTAGTCAACACAAAATTTTATATCATTTGCGACTTCAAAACTTGTGGACGAGTTTTCTTCAATCCAAGGGGAGAATAATGCAGAATGGAAATTGGATTTTCTAAATAGTTTGAAAATGTAATTATAATAAATGGGTACCAATCCAACCTATTGTACTATTTTAGAGTTTCCTTTCCTAATAACTATTTGGCTCTGATACTATGAAGATTTTGGAGAAATAATAATTTTCTTTCTCACTCTTAGATTGTTACACTTAGGGTATTTATAGAATTTCTATTCTACTGATAGAGAAATTTTTATTCTACTAGACTTTTAATTATATAAGATTATTATTTTCGTAAAATTTTAATTTTATAATACCAACTAATTAAATAATAAATAATAACTAATTAAATAATAAACTAAAATGATTAACTAATAAAATATGGTAGTCAACACAAAATTTTACGTCATTTGCGACTTCAAAACTTGTGGACGAGTTTTCTCCAATCCAAGGGGAGAATAATGCAGAATGGAATAACATTGGATTTTCTAAACAGTTTAAAAATATAATTATATTAAATATACAACTACTATATTATTGAGGAATATTATTATAGTTTTAGTAACTTAGTTCTTAGTAGTATGTTTCCTATTTATATTAGGATTAGTATTCTTAATTCTATTAGTTCACTATTTCTTAGTTTAATTATATTTAGAAAAAATTACTTAAAAAGTAATTATAAAAGTTTTGTAATTTCACTTATTAGAGCATTCAGTTATTCAATAATATTTTGAGAATTTTTCAGTTTTCTGATTTTGTGATGGAATCAAACTCTTAAATATGATGTTTTCTTAGATGTGATGTATAGGTTTCTTGTTCTCGAACCTATAATTGGACAAATCAACCATATTTATCCTACATCACCTCACTCCAGAATTTCTTTTGTTTCTTGGTCTTTACTTCATTTAATGGCTATCAAGAGTAAAAATCAACTGCATATGGTTCATTGCAATCTGATTCTTTATTCTCATTTTCTTCCCGTTACAAAAGCGGCCTACTGTACCCTTTCTCCTTTTGTAATTGTTTCCTCGATTGCAGGTCTTTTACTTCACTTAGTGCAGTAGCAAGTGAGAATGATATTCGACTTTCTTCCAATAGGTATGTTACCTTTCACACCAAACTCAGGGTAGTAGGATTGGTGGCAGAATCTGCTAACCTTACTATTTCTTTTGTTTCTCAGCTTCAAAAGTCACATTTTTCTGTGCCACCAAATGATTGTTCTTATAGAAAGTGCCTTGTTGTCTTTGTTGGGATAAGATAGAATAGTAAAACTTCTTGATTGGAAACTAAGCTAGAATATAATGTACACAAGTTTTCTTAATAATTCGTAACCTCTGGAGCTTAATATTTCCTGAATAAGCTAGGTCTTTCTGATGATTTATAAATTGTTCTAATTATATAATTATTTTGGTAACATTTCTTGATATGACAACCCTTACATCTTGGGTCTACATATTCTGGGTTAAAAGACGTAGTCCCTCCTGGCCACGTGCTAATTTTCAGAAGGGATGAGGGCTGTTTGAACAATTTGGCCAAGATACATGCTTCTAGACCTCATTGTTATATTATTAGTTATTATTCATTTGGACCATTTCTACTTAACTGTGGTTCCTGCGGATTAGTCAAAGGCAGCTTTTGAACTCTTTGTGTTGGTTGATAAAATTACTTCTGGAAAGCATGGGATGGCGGGCTGTTTGAACAATTTGGCCAAGATACATGCTACTAGACCTCATTGTTATATTGTTAGTTATTATTCATTTGGACCATTTCTATTTAACTGTGGTTCATGCGGATTAGTCAAAGGCAAAGTTTTTGAACTATTTGTGTTTGTTGATAAAATTACTTCTGGAAGGCATTCTGTTTAGCAGCAATTATTTTGTGATTGCCTTACTAATCAATAATATCCATATAATGGAATTTTCTTTTCCTGCAGACAAAAAGTGGCAGATGCACTTATTGATACTATATCTTCCCTAGGAAAATTTGAGAAGAGCATTAAGGACTGCCTTGAAATTTGACCTTCTAATCTCATCATCAGTTGAAATTTCTCTGATGTTAATGTTATTTATTTCAAGGTTCTGCTGACACTATGATCTTTTGGGGTCTGAACATGGAAAGTTGTGGAACTGCAGGAGTATGTCTATTCAGATTCGGTCTTTGTTGCATTATTTATTCTTTTTTCTCTTCTATCATATACTCTGCCATTGTTTCTGCATTTACAGTCTGTTTTGGGAGAAAATTATTCACGTACATAACAATATTTTAAATGGAAGAAAATGTGTTTGTTGTCAACTTCTCTGAAATGCTTAATCTGGAATCCCAGAATCATTCTCTATCCCCCACAGAGAATAACAATTTGACTCTGCTGCAAGTGTTCCGTTGCTTTTTCCGTTTCATTTTAGGTAAGCTCAGCTAAATTGGATCAATGTGGAAACACAGAATGAAAAGGAAATATTACCATGCATGCCAGATATATTTGGATCTGACTGGATATTTGTAGCAAAAGAACCTTGTGCTAAAAATAATGGTTTGGGAAAAAAAACTGGAATTAGTTGTACATGCTAGTATGTTTGTATTAATTGCCAAGAGAATCATTACCCAGTCCAAATGCTATGGGATCTGTTCTGCAAATCTGTTTGGTAGGAGATACATCAAATAATGATGCCTACACCTGTGCTATAATTGGAACTCTGGCCATATAGCATCTGAATATGACCAGATAGGCGTCTAAGGTATTTCTTGATTTGGTGAACCAGAAGCTTCAACCAAGTACAAGCGACGGCAAGGTGTTCCATCATCTGGGTTGGTTTGCATTGACCTTGGCAATCTGCGAAGCTTGTTGAACAGATTTAACTGATCATTCATTAGACCAAAATCGGCATCTGGATCACCAATCTGTGAAAGCCTAACATGAGAAAATCCTAGTGATGGCAGCATATGATCGGGCCAATCACTATAGAAGTGAAAGATTGAATCAGCGAGTGTGGTTGATGGTTTGTTCATGAAATCTGCTAAGAGAACTGTTTGAGTGACAGCACATTTGTCCGCAATGATCTTGAGCACCTGCATAGCATTGGAATGGGAAAGGTAGTAGAGGATGCCTTCTAGAACCCATACTGTTTTCTTCTCTGGCAAAAAACCTGATAGCTGAAGCTTTTCAGGCCAGTCAGTTTCTCTTACATCAGCAGCTACTCTGATTAATGATTTTGCTTTCATCCTAAAATGCTCAGTGGACTCAATTGCTGCCTGAAGAAGAGTGGTTTTCACTCGCAAGACTTCTGGAAAATCTACTTCAAAAACATCACTGTCCTTTAAGCAGCTTAAACGGTATGCTCTTGTGTCCATTCCTGCAAATTTAAAGTATGCCCTCTTTCATGCTAAATTTGATAATAATGAAATGCAACTCACTACTGAATTAGGCTTAAAGCTGAATGCTTTTTTTGGATTCTGCCCCTTTTCACTAGAAAGACACCACAACTATATGCAGTGGAGCCAGCTGGATGGGCATTTAATTGTATTTTTAATTTTTTAGATGCTTTTACTTTTGTGAAGGTAATGAATTGTCTTTCTTTTTTATACTTTGCACCAGTTAAAATGGTTCACAATGTTTTTTGAAGTAAACTAAGTAGTTGAAATGGTTCACAATGAAGGTAAGTGCAAATTTTATGGCAATGGCATAATCAAGGATCAATTGCTTTACTAGCAATTGCATCTATTCTTGAATTTTATATGGTTTGCTTTCATTTTTAATAAGTTAGACCATAAAATGCTTAAACTATCTTTCAGCTAGCTTGTTTTTATGTATGCTAATTCCGAAATTCTTAAACATGAACATCTCAAATGTCAGGATTTCGATGCAATAGATGTCAGCTACTCTAGTTTCAATAAATGCAGTAAAAGCACTTCAAAAACTGGTCTAGAATGATAACTAACCTGCACCCAGGAGAACAACCTGTGCTTCTCCACCACTGGAGGAATCTAGAGCAGCTTGGATTTTTGAATCAAACCACAGGGTTCGAACAGCAATGATCACTCCTGAAACTTCTCGTGCATTGTTGAGACGGTCTGTCTTAATTTTTTCATGAAGATTTCTTAGGTACTTTTCTCCTGCAAGCAAGTCTGCAACTTGGTCATGGATCACATGCTTCCATAGGGCTCTCCCAGCTGCCGTTTGGCATGCCGATCTTTGGAGACAATCCCACTCTTTTTCAATTATTGCATGTAATTCTTGAACTCTGTCAGTAAATAATAACTGTGGTATCTTTAGTTCCAACCATTCCGGGTCCCCTGGCATGCCATTTTCTTTTCCTGACATGTCTTTAAACCACAGAGGAATTGGGAGAAGTAGAAGGGAGTAAAGGAGATTTATGGGCCGTTTACGACACAAAATGGCTCCTACCGGCAATGGGATTGTGGTTAGGGATAAGAAAAGAGAGCCACACACAAAACCAATGTTGGAGGGAAGCTCAATCGTATCCAGTGTTATTATCGTTGATGAAAAGGAAGGTACCCAAGAAGTCCACGAGTGCATCCATTTATTTTTCCTGTACTCTCCTTTTCCATTCTGATTCCTTTTGAGTCGAAAAAAGCAAACACTGCATAGCCCCACTAGAAATGGCATTATCGTATATGAGTGGCTCTTAAATTGGATCTTTATTTCCAGTTTTTTTCTATAACTGGTTATTTGCATTGATGATAAAAAAGATCCCGTTCTGCTGCCAAGTACATTCTTGTCTGTTTTGGTGTATGCTCCCCGTATGCTTACATCATGTACTAAAGAGTGATTAAAAAAAGGGGATGAAAATTGAAAATTGTGAAAGCTAGATTATTAGGTAATTTCCTTAGGCTAAATAGATTTTTTTTTTTTTAAACCCCGAAAAGAGAAAAGAATTAGTGTTGAACTGCATTTTCGTTGAGAGTTTAATGCTCGTATCTTCCTAGTCTCAGGTTTCTATTTTGAATTTTATTAAAACTGGTAGATTTACAGTATGTTATTTCAATTCAATTAGAAATTATTTAATAGTTTATTCTTTATAATTTTGTAAGATTTTTTTACCATCTAAATGAATAATCATACATTTCTAAATGAATTTTACAAGTACAATTGATTTATTCCAAATATAGCTTAAAGATAGAGCTAGTTATGTCTTATTGCAGATACCATATCGTTCCTGAATTTTTTGAATTACGTATAGTTCCTAAATTAACATTATTCTTCATGTGTTGAAAATTTAAAAGAGAAAAAGCTGGATTAGGTGAGTAGGTGTGGAAAAGAGTCATCTGCCACTCACTAAAATACAGCATGTTAAGTTTGAACTAATTAATGATCTTATTACAATTTTAATTACAAAAACCAAACTAATTGTTTTTAGCAATCTATGGATTATCTCAATCAATTTGATACATTAAAGATACCACTAACTATATTACTTAGAAAAATCAAATTTATTGTTTATTACCGAGTGAATTTAATCTTTAGTAGATTATCCCAAATCAATTTGATACATTGAACGTGCTACTGAAAATATTACTTACAAAAATCAAGCTTAATCTCTTTACCAATTTATCTTTTAACTTCATCAAAAAATTTAAGTAATCTCTTTGTTTGCGAATTAAATATTAAATCTATGCATATGCAGGCCCCCCGACTTTCCAAATAATTTATGGCAATTGCATCCATGGACCATGGGCCAGCTCAGTCTGATGTTTGTTCATCAATTCTGAAAAACAGTTAACAAGCAACGGGTGTACAGACAACGGCAGCCCACTAATGTATTCATATGCGTCCGCATCCACAACGTTTAGCAAATATTAGACCTTATACGCACCGTATCACTTCCCTTGGCTACGCCGCCAAAAATCCATATGGTCCACGTCAACTTTGCACATCTTAATTACTTTATCACAATTTTATTTTACATTTATTTCATAAGATGTAAAATCCACTTTTATTTTTTTTATTTTTTAAAAAATTTACTCGAGATTTTCTTTAATTATTTAAATAAATGATAATGTGGTTTTTGAGATTTTAAAATAATAAATGTCAAATATTTATTTTTGTTAAAATACTTTTAACGTGACTTAATGTAATAATAATATTAAATTTTACTATTATAAAATAGAAAAAATTTAACTTTTAAAATAAATAAAAAATATTAAAAATTAAATTATATGACTGCCTTCCGGATTTGCTTACAAGTTCCGCTGGTAACGTAACGAAGTTTTTAAATGGTTTGTATCACACGAAGGATCAGGGAGCCGCCAAATCGTACGGTGCAAAAAATCCGTGATCAAATGGGTACGTGGATAATGAGCTCTGGTAAAGACGGCCCACAACTGCCTTAATAAAAGGATGCTTGTTGGATGTGAGTGGGATACACACAACGAGGAAAAGTGTGGTAGAAGCAAAAACAATATTTAAGTGCGTCGTTAGGACACCATCCGTCGATTTCTTTTCTAGTCAAGCGGAAGTGGGAGGAAAATTGAAAAAGATACGACGATTCCGTTTCTTCTTCTCTGCTTGCTACCTGAAGTTCCTGAACAGACAGAAGCAGAGATTGAAACGAAAACTCACAGAGGGAGATGGCATCGGACGTGGCTTGTTGTGGGACTCAGTTTTCGCTCTATTTGCTGGTGATAATAGGGTTGGTGGCGTTTGCTGGGCTCATGGCTGGACTTACCCTGGGTCTCATGTCTCTTGGCCTCGTCGACCTCGAGGTCCTCATCAAGTCTGGCCGTCCTCTGGATCGTATCTATGCCGGTCCTCTCTCTTGCTCTTTCTCTCTCTCTCTAGCTCTCGGTTTTTTAACCTCTGCTTTCCGTTGATCGATTTGTACTCAATTTGAAATGCAAGAAATGAAAATGGAATATGATAGTGAATGCATAAAGCTTAATAGCTCATTAGGATTTGGATAGTGTGAAGTTGATTTTTATCCACCAAATTTGTCGGACCAATTGGTGCATGATATAAAAGTAATGAATATCATCAGTATTATAGGCTCATTGGGGCTGCTGTATTTTCACGCAGAATTGTCATGTGGCCTTATCTTCTTAGATTCATTATCTTTCCTTTCTTTCTTTGTGGTTTTTTAGAGGTTTTAGTCATAGCTTTTACTGATTTTCTTGGGTTTACATTGAATAACCGAGACTCATCGTAGAAGGAGAAGTTCGATTTTCTTGCCTAAATTCGTGTTTCTAAATGTTCGCAATAGGGGCGACATACTTGGTTCCCTCCCGAACTTTAAGTCACCTGTAGGCTATAGCCCTGATGCTTGTGATATTGGATATCTTGTCAACAGCTACCTAATTCGTTGATTATGATTATGAAGCATTGTTTATTCCTGTTTGATCTGTTTTACTTTATGTTTTGTTGGTGGGCTGAATCGGGGAAGTGGGAATACGGAGTAATGCAAAGAAGCCCGGTCAGCCAATGAGCGGATCCTGCTATGTGCTCGTATTATAGAGTTAATTTCTCCAGTCATTACTGAATGGATTAAGTTCTTTTGCAGCTAAGATATTTCCGGTGGTGAAAAATCAACATCTTCTGCTATGTACACTTTTGATTGGAAACTCTTTGGCAATGGAGGTGACTGTTTGATTCGGACATCTTTGTCAGGCAGTTCTACTATAAGCAAATTATGCTTTGATGTCCATAATATCTTTTTCTCTTTCATCTAGGCTCTTCCGATATTCTTGGACAAACTTGTGCCTCCATGGGCTGCAATCCTGATATCAGTGACTCTCATACTCATGTTTGGAGAGGTTTGTCATCTTTAATTTAAGTTGATTGTGCTTTTTGTCTGCTTGCATAAGGTGTCTTATATTCTAGTGAAATTTTGACCACAGATACTGCCACAGGCAGTCTGTACTCGATATGGCTTGAGGGTTGGGGCAATGATGGCACCTCTTGTCCGAATTCTGCTTTTGGTGTTCTTTCCTCTATCTTACCCAATAAGTAAGGTATAATTAGCACATAATGAATACTAGTATGCACACGACTAACTCAAATATCAGTTGTTTATAACCTTTCTTATAAGCTCTGTTGTTTATTATATTTTGCCGCTTTGAGGCTTGCATTTTCTATTCTTGTTTTGGGTTTAATTTTGAAATGCTTCCTATCTCTAAATAAATGATTGTATAAATCTTTAGGTTCTTGACTGGATGTTGGGTAAGGGACACGCTGTCCTCTTACGGAGAGCAGAGCTGAAGACTTTTGTAAATTTCCATGGGAACGAGGTACTGAATTTTATTTAAGAATCATTTTTGGCAGTTCTCCTAATAATTTGTGTTGGATGCATTCAAAATGTCTCCTGCTTGGATTCAATTTATGGAGGGAGATCAATGTTGTGTTGAAACCATCTGCTGGCACCACCCAGTTTTTTGATTAGTTATCATATGCGCATGCTTTGTTGTTTAGGCAGGAAAAGGAGGGGATCTAACACATGATGAGACTACTATTATCACTGGCGCACTTGAATTAACTGAAAAGACTGCAAAAGATGCCATGACCCCCATATCGAAGGCATTTTCCCTTGCTCTGGATGCAACTCTTAATTTGTGGGTTTGTGGATTCTTGTGCATTCTCTCGACAATAACCTATCTTATCTCCAGGCCTTCTAAACTTCCCTGTTTTTCTCTTCTATCCAACTCAGGGAGACACTAAACGAGATAATGACAAAGGGCCATAGTAGGGTTCCGGTTTACTATGGACATCCAAAGAAAATAGTTGGACTAGTTCTGGTAATTTGTTTCTTTCCCTGCATGATTCTTTGTATCGGGATTTTATGGTAATGATTATCATTTACTTTGCTAGGCATCATGTTTACTTGATTTTGTCATGATACTTGATTATTGTTTATGCTTTAGTATTTATGATCACAATCTGTATATTTTAGGGAGCAGTAATTGATATTTAAATTAATTGCTTATGGCCAGCTATGCAGATGTAATTTTTGACCATTTATATAATATTGTAGTTAACTGGGTATGTGTCTTCATTTTCTATTAATTTAGGAGGCATTGTCTCCCATTTTGTTGCGAGGAACTATTGTAACACTGGACTTGATGTTTCCCTCATGCATGGTTTTGTTTTAAAAATGGTTGCTATGTTTATAATACAGGTTAAAAACCTCTTAGCAGTTGATCCAGAAGAAGCAGTTCCATTGAGAAAAATGATCATAAGAAAAATTCCACGGTATAACTTATCATCTTTTCTACATTTCTCTCATCAGTTGAGACAGAGATATTGCCCCTGTAAAAGAAGTGACACTGGCTAAAACTGCATTTGTTTGATGAGTGGTATATTCATGTTCTTTCAGTGGAGGAGCTGACATGTTCTTGTTTGTGTTGTTCGTTCATCCTTCAGGGTATCAGAAAACATGCCACTATATGATATCCTCAACGAATTTCAGAAGGGTCACAGCCATATTGCTGTTGTATATAAGGATCTAAACGAGAGAGAAGATACACCAAAGAGAAGTAAAGAGTGTGAACAGTTTGAGTTCAAGGACAGTTGTAGGAAGCCAAGAAGCCAACCTGAGGCGTCACTGAGAAAAGGTAAAGATGCACGCACATAAGATTGCTATTAGCTTTTTTTTTTTTTTTTTTTCATATTTATGTGGTATCTGTATTCAATTCTCGGTTACAGTTGCCTGGATGAAGTCTTAATTTTATAGGGTGATCATGGCTCCATAGTTTCTATTTTTTTACTGGGCTAGTCCTGAATTAGATGTGTGCATTTGCCCATTCATTTCGTATTTAAGGATTATAAAAAACTTTTCCTGGATGGTTTCCAAAGTTCTCTGAAAATCAGAATTTTTTAATCACTTTGGTTCTATGTCTTGTCCTCTTATCCTGCAATCTTTACTGATTTGGCGGTAAATGTTTATATTCAAAGTTGTCATTTCATGAGAGATTAGCTGTTATTTTACTTTTATTTTGCTCCTTTTTGTTGACACTTTACTGGCTGTGAATTTTGTCCAAGTAAAAGGACAATTCGTTATCACTTCTGGCTAATTTGCATTACACATTTTGTTTATTTTGTCCTGAAAAACATTCATTGCTAAATGGGTATGGCATCTCACTTATCCTGGTTGCAAATCTAGTTTTTTCAACTAATATGACTAATCTTTCTTGGTGGATTGCCAGATGTTAATGCTACTACCCATAATCTTGGTGTTAAACCAGAATCAGAAGATGCTCAGACAAAAGGGGCTAAGAATGATGGAGGTCAGCAGGAAAAGAAGAGCACAGCAGCAGCTACTGCCTCTAAGAAGCGACACAGAGGTTGTTCATATTGCATTTTGGATATTGAAAATGCTCCTATTCCAGAATTCCCCCCAAACGAAGAGGTTGTGGGTGTCATTACCATGGAGGATGTCATTGAAGAACTTCTTCAGGTACCAATGGGAATTTTGTACTTTTCTCAACAGCCTGGTTGTTGGGCATTTATCAGCAAGTATATGATGGCATTATCTTCTTGGCACTGTAACATGATCTGGATACTTAATGATATTTGCTACCTTGTGATAATGTGCCTAGTATCTCTGTCATGAGCTGATAGCCTGAACGTGTCCCTAACCCTTTTATCACTTGGGAAGGCCCCATTTTGCAGAAAGTTCTATTGTTGGAATTGGGAAAAATTAGTACCACTTACATAGAATACCTTTCTTATAGAACTCACAGTTGTGCACTTACTTGGTGAGTTCCCGGACTGGTTTAATTTTCATAATCCATTTCTGATCTGAGTTGATGCATTTGCTTATGGCAGGAGGAAATACTGGATGAAACTGATGAGTACGTCAACATTCACAACAGGTAAAAATAAAAGCTATTCAGGTTCCTAGGTGTCTTTACAGTCTTTCATATAGTAGTTTATTTTGGCTAATACAGCAAAGGATCTCATATCCTGATTAAAGAGTGTGACCTGCTATTTCTTGGGAATTTGCAGGATAAAAATCAACATGCATGCGTCTCAGGACAAGGCATCTAATTTGAGTTCAACACAACCATCTTCCAATGGCTCCTCAGTATCTTGGACACCAAATCCACAGTTTCAGATGCTTACAGCATCTAGTCTCACTCCAAAGTCTGTATCCGTACCTGATCCTGCACCCACGGCCCCGACCCCAACCAGTTCTTCAAATGTAATGACACCAACTGCAACACGAAGATAATGAAGGGGTGCAAAGGATAAGTGATAGGTGAAATTTGAAGTTTTCTTTGATGATTACTTGATATGATATAGGTATACAGAGGTTGAAGATGAAGAGTTAAATGTTAATAGATGTGAGTTAGAGACACTTACTAAAATAGAGGAAAGGTGCAGCGAAGGATGCACTTGATTGTAGAGAAACATGTTCTTGTTTGGTAAGGCTATTGAAATGGGTTAGTTCTGTATGGTCTCGAAGCATCTGTGCGGTGATTTATAACCTTTGCTGGATATCCATAATGTAATCCGATAATCAAGTGTTGTTCAAATTGATGATGTGCACTACAAGTATATATGATTGATCCACTCGCATTGCATGTGGTGTTAAGAACTCTGGTTACTCCAATACGAGAATCATATTATTCTACCAAATAATTAGAAAAGAAACTCCTTGATTTCTGATCAGTGTTGCGTAAAACAAAGTTAATTCATTTATTTATTTTTAAAGCTGATCGATTTAAAGTTTTAATTGGTTAATTCAATTATTGCTGTTTGCTTTAAGACAGGAATGACTGCTACTTGGTTTTTCTTCAGATTATGCTGGTTGCTTTACAAAATGCTTTGGAAGTATTGTCTTTGGATTTAGCACTAATTAGTCAGACGACATGTAATATTCCTGAAAAACAAATTAAGTGAAATTAAAAATTTTCAGTTTTATGTAACTTAGTGAATTAAATTTTTAGCCTTTGGTCAAGAATGTCAGAAAGTTTTTCTTTTTACCCTCCTCAAGTTCACTTTTTCATGAACAACTGGGAGAGATGTTAATTTGGAAAACGTAATTGAAAAGAGACGAGTTTAATCGGGGATGGTGAGCGACTTGAATGTGTTAGGATTTAGTTTATTATAATCTAAAAATAGTAAAATTTAAACTTTGTTTTACAATAATGTAATTCCCAAAATAGAAAAAAAATCCAAAAATCCATGTGATTATATCGAAGCAGACATCCTGGCTAGAAGGGAAAGAAAACTCGAATGACGGATCAGACAGTGAAATACAAAATGGAAAAAGCAAGAAATTCGGGCCAGTACGCTATGTTATCCAGGATTTATATCTGCGTCCTGCGTATCTCCTGACTAGGGTCGAATGTAAGTCGCGGGACACAAGAACTTCAGATAAAAACAATTCACAACAGTTCCTCAACAGTTCCAATCTATGAACTTTTTTTTTTTGCTTGGATTTTCTCTCTGTTAAAATCTTCGACTGAAAATGAACCTCGACAAAGCCGTTTTAAAGAGAGACTACTAGCATTAAGCCAACTGGCTTTAGCTTTGTTTTTAAACCGGGCTTATTCAACTTTCGTGTCTGGTAATATATATATATGTATAATATATTTGAGTGCGCACTGGGGAGTTGAACCCGCAAAATCAACCCAGTGACACCTGCCGAACTTTTAGTTTAGCGGATTTACCAATCTGGGTACTGGGAATTTTCTAGGATTCAAAAAATGCTAATCTTTTATTAAGTCTTGTTTTCCTTCCTTTTTGATTACTGCTTACTGATAGCACATCCATTCTGGTCTTGCTTTTGCCTGAATTATGATGTTGAAATCTCTGTAGATCTTATGAACTAATCTTTCTTTATAACATATCCGCATAAGGGCTATCTTTATTTAGTTAATTTTCTTTCTTTCTAGTTCCTTTGGCGGGTTATGGTTTCGTGTCTTGACATGTAAATTTACTTCAAAGATACATTTAATTGCCGGTCTAGCGTGAGTGAGTGAGAGAGACAGAGAGATGGCAATAGCTCGATTTGGTCGCCAAGCAAAGCGCCCATATGGGGTCTGCGTGAAGATGACGGCGGTGGCTATTATGGGTTTGTGTTTCATCTTCGTTTGGTCTATTTTCTCTCCTCCCTCGTCCTCTGTGACCGTTCAAAGGGAAAGCTTCGACGATATTGCTGAACCAGTTTCAGGAAACTCAAAGATATTTCATCCTAGTACTCAATCTGGAAAAAGGGAACCAGAAAAGCTCGAACCAAGTAAAGAGGATGAGAAGGTGAATAGTAAGTTCGATTTCAAAGGGAAAGATGAAAGAAGGACCAATGGGTCTGTGACTTCAACTGTTAATGGGCATGAATCTACAAAAGAGCATGCGAAAGTGGTGTCTCATAGGAACAAACATAAGCCAAAGATAGCTAAGGAGAAACAAGAGCAAGATAAATCTGAATCTGAAACCCAAAATGGGGATTCTCAGAAGGAAGAAGAGGAAGAAGAAGTGGTGGATGGTAAAGAAGTATCTGAAGGTGAAGGGGAAGGTGAAGTGAATGGGGATGGAGAACGAGATGATAATATAGCTGAATCAGTGGATCAAGAAACTGTTGAAAGAGGGGAGGAGGAGACGGGTGGATCAAAAAGTACAGTGAAGAAGAGGACGGTAAAGGGTCCAGTTTTTGATTCCAAGGCACATTATAGTTGGAAATTATGTAGCACAAGGAGCAAACAGAACTATATTCCTTGTATTGACAATGAGGGTGGCATTGCAAGGCTGCAGAGTTATCGGCATAGGGAGAGGAGTTGTCCCAGAGAGCCTCCAATGTGTCTTGTTCCTCTTCCCCATGACGGATATTCTTCTCCGGTACACTGGCCCGAGAGCAAATGGAAGGTATTTACTAGGGTCTAGTTTTTCTTTTTCTTTCAATCTCCCTTTGTGAAGAGGAACAAACTTGATTGTCTCGAGTTCTGTGGTACCATGCTGCTACCTGTTCTTTTTCTTTCTCTTTTTTCTTTTTTGCAGATATCGTATAAAAATGTAGCACATCCAAGACTTGCTGCTTATATTAAGAAACATAATTGGTTGGTGGAGTCTGGAGAGTATCTTACTTTTCCCCAGAACCAGACTGAATTTAAGGGGGGAGTCCTTGAGTACCTTGAATCCATCGAGGAGGTATTTTTCCCCATTCTCTCTCTCAAATTTGAAGTTCCTTTATGCTTTTATACCTCCTTAAGTTCCAATAATGGTCAAAGGATTGGGAAGAATTGTCAGGAACCAGAGCCTGAACTGATCAAATACGAATTTTGTTTTGAACAACTATTCTTGATAAGATGGAAGGTCTTAGAGATGATCTTGGTTCATAAAGTTAATGAGCTGAAATATGCTTTCAATACAAGGATTCACTTTGAAAGTCTTTTTAAGTGCATGTTTATGTGGTGGATGTGCCGCATTATTAGATGGATACGTCAGTACTTCAGGTGGTTTGTGAAGTAATAATGCATGGTCTTTTTAATGAATGTTTCCTCACTTTTTGTAATTTATTGTTGCTGAGGTGAGAACCTTATTGCTATTGTGAAACTTGACTTCGTGGATGGCATTAACTGCTGTATCTTCTAGCCAAAATTGGCAAGTTTTCTGTTTCCTTCCTACTTTCAGGGCAATAATGTTCCTAGATAACTTCAAAATAAACGGATAAATGTCCACGAGTATTTATTAGTTTTTTAACTTTAAAACTGCATTTCTTTTGCGTATTTAGCATTCTGAAGCTTGTTTGGCTTTGATAGATGGTACCAGACATCGAATGGGGAAAGAATATCAGGGTAGTGCTTGACATTGCAAGAACAGATGCAAGCTTTCTGGCTACTCTCCTTGAGAAGGATGTGTTAACATTATCACTAGGTTTGAAGGATGATCTGGTTGACTTAGCACAAGTTTCACTTGAGCGTGGTTTCCCCGCTGTAGTCAGCCCTTTTGCAAGTAGAAGACTTCCTTTTCCTAGTGGCGCTTTTGACTCTATTCATTGCGGTGGTTGTAACATACACTGGCACAATAATGGTTTGTGTTTCTTTACATGTTCTCTGCTTTCCTTTGTCAATTACCATTCTTTATTCAAGTATCATATCTTGTTAATCAATCTTCTAAGTTTTTCTTGCTTCTTTAGGGGGCAGACTTCTCCTTGAGATAAATAGGCTTTTAAGGCCTGGTGGATACTTTATTTTGTCGACCAAACATGACAGCATTGAAGATGAAGAAGGTTTGACCTTATATCTTAAGATGAATGGTGTTCTTGATGATATTTGAAACTTGATTTGTTCCTCTCAAAAAAAAAAAAAAAGAAGAAAGAAAGGAAGAAAGAAATAAACTTGATCTGAAACTGAATCTTCTGCTTGAGAATGGAGTTTTACCCTCCTGTTTTATTTACTCATTTGTCATCTGTTTCCACTAGGCTAACCCTCAAGCTCTAAATTTACTGTTTTTTTAATCTGGAATTTGTATTGTGGGTGGAATAGGGGCCACTTCCTACTCCAACATTGTCAATTAAGGTTGTTTAGCTTATCTATACATGTTCTGTCACTATTCCGTCCATGGTCCATACATTTTTAATGGATTTTAATGCATATGTTCTCTTTTGCTAGGCAAGGAGTGTGCTTTGGGCTAAAAGAAGATTGACCATTTAGGTATAATAACTGGAAACTATTTGGTTCAGAACGAACTTCCTTTATTCCTAATAACCCACCTTGGCCACCGAGCAATCCCATCAGGCCTACTATTTGATCAATATCAGTATTACATGAGGAAATAAAATTAGAAGGCATTTTTTTTTCCACCGCAGCTCTTCAGTGCCTGCTATTTTCTGTTGAAGTTGCCTGTTTCGGTGTATGCAAAGCAGCTGCTTGTTTTTGCTTGTGTTCCTTTCTTATTTTATACATTGAATATTACCTTAAAACTTGTTGTGTTTTCAGCTATGACTACATTGACTGCATCTATCTGTTGGAATATTCTGGCTCATAAAACTGATGAAGTTAGTGAATTGGGTGTTAAAATATATCAGAAGCCTGAATCAAATGATATTTATGAGCTGAGGAGGAAGAAAAATCCACCTCTATGCAAGGAAAACGAAAATCCAGATGCAGCGTGGTAAGCCATGATCAGATCGCTTTATAAAATTAATTTATATTTAGTATCCCATGTCCTCCCAATTGGAGAGATTAACTTTCTCAACTTTAATCTGGATTTAGCATTGCTGATGTTATGCCAAACTTGCAGTATAGAGCTATAAATTATGTTCTTAGCCTCTTATGAGCAAGCCATAGATTGTTTAGGAGGTATTTCTCCAAAGTTCTAACTTTGCTATAGTCTCTGGGATACCTGCCCTGAAAATTTTGTTTTGAGAAGAAAAATTTGCTTCTTACTTCTATATGTATATGTACCTACCCGTGAATATGATCCACATATTCATATATATATATATATGTATATATATACTTGTATATCATATGTTATACAGAGAGCTTTGAGGGGATAATACCCGTAACCTGGTTTTAAAAAGAGGAACTTTTACCTTAATGGGAGAGACTTTATCACCCGGACAAGGTTTTGATTTCTCCTAACTGCAATATTGGGGTGCCCAGTCTTTAAAGTCATCTTATTAATATGTCGATTTTACATGATTTTTAATAGGTCGAGAAAACATGCATTATTTTATGTTAATGATCATGAAAATCCAAAGCTATTGAAGAGGACATTTTCTCCTTTGTCTAAGCTGGTTACCATAAACCTTTATATTTACTATCTCGATGACATTTCTTTGAAGGTATGTTCCTATGAAGACTTGTTTGCACACTATTCCAACTTCCATTGAACAACATGGGACAGAATGGCCTGAGGAATGGCCCAAGAGACTTGAAACTTACCCTGAATGGTTAAGTGACAAAGAAAAACTGGCTTCAGACACCAGCCGCTGGAGAGATATTGTTGACAAATCGTACTTGACTGGAATGGGTATTGATTGGTCAAGTGTCCGGAATGTAATGGACATGAAAGCCATCTATGGCGGGTATGCAAAAATTGGAACTGAGTAACTTATTTTTCCTTCAAAACTTAATAGTACTTCTCCGCACAATCTTTGATAATTCCACTGACATGTTTTTTCCCTTCAATAGAAAACAGCTATCATAATGCCCCCTCCCTCTTTTTGTTATACTATTCCTTTTTCTTATATAAATAGAAAATGCACCAGGATACTAGATTGTATTTTTTGCTGTCGAAATGCAGATTTGCCGCAGCACTCACGCAACATAAGGTTTGGGTGATGAATGTGGTCCCCGTCCACGCTCCAGACACACTCCCATTCATTTATGAGCGAGGACTTATTGGTATCTACCACGATTGGTGTGAATCTTTTGGGACCTACCCAAGATCATATGACCTTTTACACGCAGATCATCTCTTCTCGCGGCTTAAAAACAGGTGAAAAGCTTTTGCTTTGCTGGACTAATAGTTTCCAATTCTAACTATTCTGTCCATGGTTTATTAGCCATTTTCACGCCATCAACTATTACTTTTTCAGGTGTAAGCAACCTGTTTCGATTGTTGTTGAGATGGATAGGATATTACGGCCTGGAGGTTGGTTGATTGTCCGTGATAAGGTTGAGATATTGGATCCTCTGGAAGGAATTTTGAGAAGCTTGCAATGGGATATTAGAATGACTTACGCTCAGGGTAAGGAGGGGATCTTGTGTGCTCAGAAAACATTATGGCGGCCTTGATATCTTGTATATGCATTCTGCTTATTATTGACTTGAAACTTTACAAGACCATTGCTTCTTTATACCAACCAGTAACTTGATGAGAAGACAAGTTTCTTGGATTCACTTGTAACACAAATCACAGAAAGTAGTGATTCTTTATTTTTGTGAGATATATATTTAGTGATTCATCATTGTAATTCTGTTGGTTTGGGATATTTTCTTCCAATCCTTTCAAATCCATATTTTTAAAAATAGTTGCAAGTAATAATTTTCTAATCAATTTTTTTTAATTCAATATAATTTTTTTTATATTTAATTTTAATTTATTAGTGTAGTAATAAATTAAATTTTATTTAAATAAATTACCATTATTTTAAAAAAATATATATTGTAAACTAATAAATTTTTTTAATTAATCTAATCACAAGCGTTTAACTGCATTTTAAGGGAGAGCTGTTGGGTTTCCTTTTTTTATCATTCGCATCCGCGTTTTGAATTTGGGCCCAAAAGCTTCAGTCGAAAATTACTGTACCGCCTTTTTCTTCTTCGATCTTGGCTCTTCCTCGACTCCTTCTCTGGTCGGTTCCGCCATGAACCCAGATTCCTGTTTTCTTCAGTTCCATGCGCGCTAAATTCCCCTGCTTTCCTTAAATTTCTCTAACTATTCCTCACAATGTCTTCCTACTCTGTCCCAGCTCGCCTTACGCTCCTCGCTCTCCTCTCTGCCACCACCTTCTACTGCTTCTACAAATCTCGCAGGCTCAAGGGTCTCAAAAACCTCTCCGTAAACCCTAACCCTAATTCTAAGTCCAAATCTAATTGCTGCTCCTCCCCCAAGGCAAAGATCATTTTCATTTCTCAAACTGGCACCGCTAAGTCCCTAGCTCATCGTCTCCTCGCATTTCTCTCTTCCAATGACCTCGCCTTTGATCTCGTTGATCCCCAAAGTTACGAGCCCGAGGACCTCGCTATAGAAACTCTCGTTCTGTTCGTTGCTTCCACTTGGGAAAGTGGAAAACCGCCGCCAAACGGGGAGTTCCTGGCGAACTGGCTATCCGAGAGCGCAGATGATTTCCGGGTCGGCTCGCTGCTGCTTTCGAAGTGCAAATTCGCAGTTTTTGGAGTGGGGAGCAGAGCCTACGGAGATACGTACAATGCGGTGGCAAGGGATTTGTCGAAGCGAGTGAGGGAGCTAGGAGGCGTCGAGATTTTCCCGGTTGGGGAAGGCGACGTGGATGATGGTGAACTGGATATAGTTTTTGATGAATGGAGTAGAAAAGTTGTTAGTGTTTTGAAGGGGACTCTTGTGTTGGAGAACGGTGCGGTTTTAGGGAATGGGATTTGGGAAATTGATGGTGAGAGTATTGAGGATTCGGGTGATGACGATGAGCAGAGCCTTGTGGAGACGGAAATCGTTGATGTTGAGGATATTGCTGGCAAAGCGCCTTCAAGAAAGATGGCTACGGCAAATGTGGCTGAAACTAATGGGAAAATTGACGGAAAGAGAGCTATGGTGACTCCGGTGATCAGGGCGAGTTTAGAGAAGCAGGTATGCACTTATCTAATTTATTTCGTAGGGGAAGTATTTTTGAGATTATTTCTGTTCTGAATTTTGATTTTGATGATTGCTTGGGTTTAAAACCTCAATTAGCTGCCCAAGGGGATATTTTGTCCACCTGCACTGGCCGTAGAGTAGTTTGCATTGGTTCTACAATCTGTATCAGCTCATTAATTATAATCTTACCTGGAAGTAGAATCTTTAAGACAGATTTAGGTTTAATTCTTTGGGTTTGATTGAAGAAAGCATTGCCATCTGTGATCTCAATCTTGGTTGTATGATATGTTTGATGGTTAATGTTGACCTTTTTATGCATGCGTCTTGGTGTGTAATTATAATTTTATATATTTCAACAACTATTGATTAATCTTAACTAAATCTTTACAGATGATTTGAACTTGCAGGGATATAAAATTATTGGTTCACATAGTGGTGTTAAAATTTGTAGATGGACCAAATCACAACTTAGAGGCCGAGGAGGTTGCTACAAACATTCATTTTATGGCATAGAGAGCCACAGGTGATTATGATTTTTTTAGTTTTTCATCTCTTTTATTCAGCCATTAGGCAATCTTGTCAGGACCAGCCTTTTAGATTTGTTGAATTTTGTCTTTCAAGAAAGATGTTGAATTTTGAGTGAAAAAACAGATGCATGGAGGCAACACCTAGTTTGGCATGTGCAAACAAATGTGTTTTCTGCTGGAGGCATCATACAAATCCAGTTGGAAAGAGTTGGCAGTGGAAGATGGATGATCCGTTAGAGATTGTCAATTCTGCCATAGATCTTCATACAAAGATGATTAAGCAAATGAAAGGTGTTCCAGGTAATTGCGTGCTTTTGCACTAGTTGGATGGTCCTTTTAGCAGTTCTCTACCTGCATATGGTAATAATAAAGTAAGTTAGAACTTCTGTACAGTGATATCTTTCTTCTGGTTATTGATCTGCAAAAATGCTCATTTATTTGTCTTCTGATTGATGTCTATCGTTCAATGTCAAATGTCAATAAGTAGCTACTTAATCAATTTCAATAATCCGGACGAGCAGAGCATTGTTACATTAATGTGACTATCTTAGCCTGTCTGTGACCTGGTCTCCCTAGTTGTTACAAGATTTCAGAGGTTATCTGTTAGTATGCTACTGGTGATTTTTTCATCCGAGCTTAACCTCTTGTACTACTTATTGCCATGCCCCTTATTATTAGAAGGAAATGTAGGCATTTTCAGGATTCAGCCGGATTAGTGTATCTAAGAGCTGATTCATTATAATTTCGGCAGTGTGTTTCATTAGTACACTATTGGTGTTATCTGCATAGGCTAGTTTATTGACCAGATAATTCTCATTCTATAGGTGTTACAATGGAGCGTTTAACAGAAGGTCTATCTCCAAGACACTGTGCTTTATCACTTGTTGGTGAACCAATCATGTACCCAGAGATTAATGCACTTGTAGATGAGCTGCATCGAAGGCGAATTTCTACATTTCTAGTGACAAATGCACAGTTCCCTGAAAAAATTAAAATGCTGAAGCCAGTCACACAGGTTTGCCGGCTCTGATATCATCTATTTTGGGGAAAATTGAAATCTGAGGCAGCTATTTATCCAATTTCGAACAGCATAATTATATATTTTCCTTGACCCATGCAGTTATACGTGAGTGTGGATGCTGCAACTAAGGAGAGCTTGAAGGCTGTAGATAGGCCTCTCTTTGGGGACTTTTGGGAGAGATTTATTGTTAGTACTCTTTCTGTTACATAGAATATTGAACTGATTCTATACTATTTCTTTAAATAACTAGTTCAAAATCTAGTAAGGAGAGTAAGAAACAAAAACTTGAGAGGAGATTTTCAAGAAAAGCATGAGTACTGGTAGAATGGAAAATGAGAGAGAAAAGAAGGCAGTTAGGAGCTTTCCAAACAATTGTTGAGGATTTGAAAGATCTTGTTGACCTCCCAAACAGTCAACTAGAGTAGGGTTGGATATAAAAGATATATTAAGTTTTGTAGTCAAATGATCTGCTTGTTATGAGATGTCGATGACTTCGAATAACTATTTTGCTGTGAATATTTTGTCTTGTAAAATTTACATTCAGGATTGAAATGGAATTTTACATTTCACTTTTTTATGCCTATTCTTTATCTATTCTTTAAGCAAACAAATAATGAAAAATCATTAATTTTACAAATCCTAAATTCAAGGAACAAAAATGAAACCATGCTAGACTGTCTTGTCTAGGATATGGGGCCTCTTGGGCACTTCCTATCAGAGTTGAAATGCATCTCTATATTTCGAGGCACCAGACTCATATTTGCACAGAAAACTTCTGTAGCTGTGACGTCTAAATTTGGTGCTAGTTCTATATTTCTAAGTAGCCAGTTTTGTTATTGGACATTTTCCAAGATCTCCTACTACTGTATGCATTTGAGCATCTAATTTCTTAATATGGCCGAACTTGATATGACCTTGGCAAGGCTTGCTGCTTATCCACATTCGCTGTAAACTAATGCCAGGATTCTTTGAAAGCTCTTAGGGAGAAAGAGCAGCGAACAGTTTATCGCTTGACGCTGGTTAAAGGATGGAATACAGAAGAAATAGATGCTTACTTTAACCTGTTTAGCATTGGGAAGCCAGATTTTGTTGAAATCAAAGGCGTAACTTATTGTGGCTCGTAAGCAACTTCTGCTTCTGTTAAGTTCTGTTACCTGCATTGCTATGTTATCTTATCTTGGGGATCCTCTGCAGGTCTGCTACATCGAAGTTAACAATGGAAAATGTGCCATGGCATTCTGATGTTAAAGCTTTTTCAGAGGCCTTGGCCTTGAAAAGTGAAGGGGAATATGAGGTTGCATGTGAACATGCCCACTCATGTTGTGTGCTCTTGGCAAAAACTGACAAGTTCAAAGTCAATAATCAATGGTTCACATGGATAGATTATGAAAAGTTCCACGATCTGGTTAGTAATAGTTGAATTTCATTGCCTGGAGGTCTGGGTTTCTTTTATTTTTTTTATAATTTTAATTCCAAGACTTATTGTTTGGAGTGTGTAGGTGGCTTCTGGAAGACCTTTCAGCAGCAGGGATTACATGGCTGCCACGCCATCCTGGGCTGTCTATGGCGCTGAGGAAGGTGGATTTGATCCGGATCAGTCTAGGTATAAAAAGGAGAGACGTCATAAATCAAATCACTGACCCTCCAGGTAAGTAAAGAGACCCGAATGGGAAATTTCTGCAGTTTTGTTTATACCAGGGGCTAGGTAACTTGTTGAGATAAATTTGTATCCCTCGCATTTTGGTCTTTTGGTTGTAAAGAAAATGTTTTGACGGCATAGGGTTTTTTTTTTCAAAAAAATTCTAAGTTATAATCATGTTTTGCAAAATTATAGATGTCAATCACCTGGGGGTCCAATTAATAT